AGAAAGCAGAGAGAAAGCAGGGGAGGAGCCAGGGACAAAATACATAATCCCTCAGATATGTCACCAGGCATCCACCTCTCCTCCAACCACATCCCACTTGCCATAGTGACCACCCAGTTAGTCCAGACATTCACACTAAGATGGACTGATTAAGATCCATCTCTCATGATCCAATTATTTCATCCATGACCATTCCTGAATGAACAGGAGTTTGTGGAGGACACCTCACATTCCAAACCAGAAGGATGTCTGAGTCCATTTTGCAAAGTTAAGGTATAGGCGATCATCCAAAGAAGCTGGCCGCTTCCATCGGCCTTTGTCTTCATCCCTACTCCCACCCCCATTATCTTTAAAGCTCCTGATCCTCAGTGTCAGTACCTAGAGTCTCAAGGGGCTCCTGACCAGCTATGCCAAAAGTTACTTAGAGGCTCATGACACTGTGCTCAAGGCTGGGGTAGGATGGCTGGGTGGGGAGCTGATGGCATTTCCATCCTCTCAAGGATCAAAAGGATGAGGACCCAGCCTTCCCTGCCTCTGCCCACTGCTCTGACTCACCAGAGTAAGCCAGGTGAACAGATGGCCATTCTTTCTCTCATTCTGTACCCTCTTTCCGGGGGTGAGGGAGGGCAATTCAAGACAAGGAGGACCCGGAACCTCTCTTGGATTCCCACTCTGCCAACCTCTGAGGGCTGTCTTTAGGCTCTATAAGAACACCTCCACCAGGAGTATGAATGGGGTGAAAACAGAGACTCTGAGCCTTTTGCACATGAGAAAGATGCCTTTTCAGCTTTGGGGCAGCTTTAGGAATGTGTTTAAGAAGATGTTGACTGAAAACACCAAGGAAAGGCCAATATTCTAGGCAGTAGCAGAATCACCAAAGGAACCAGGCACAAACACAGGGGCCAGGCCCCATCCTGCCTCGGTGGCCGGAGGCTCTGTACACTCTCCCAGCTGATTCTGACACACTCCCAGGCATGAAAACTACTGCCCCAGGAGTGGGATTGCCCTGTTGGCGTCCAAACCAACTTCCAAAACCTCCTTGTCCCCATGACCTCCAGCCCCAACTGCAGATGGACTTTTCCAGCCAAGGGCCAAGACACAGCCTAATCCTGCCAGTCTTCCTGCCACCACTTAAAAAAAAATCATTTCTCCCTCTTGCTGATTCTCTGCCTCTATGGGGTGTGTTAAGCCCAAATTTTGTGTGAACAGAACAGGAAGCAATTGGTTCCATTAAAAGAAGGAGAGAGATAGAAGACTGCAGTTTGACATGTGACTGATTTTCAAGACTCACGAAGTCTGCATTTTGCATAGCTGTCAAGATTTAGTCAGCAAATCAGAAGAGCCTGGGAGACGTGCAGCGGGGGTGTTTTTGAAGCTACATCTGACCAAGCACCAGGTCTGTGGTCACTTTGGAGGATTAGCCAAGTTTCCCAAATGAGAAAATATAAAAACATAAACATGCAAAGATGTCCCAAGGTCACACTGAAGGCAGCAGTGGGGAGGATTAGGAGCTCAGTGCTCTTTATCCTAGGCCTGTTTCTGAGCTACAGAACAACACAGCTTCCCCAGTGCAGGTGTTAAACAGACTACTGCCTTTAAAGTAAGGGTAAAAAAATAAAAATAAAACAAGTTCTTATTTTGGCCATATTTCAGAAAATCTCCCAAGGAAAAAAGGATCCATCTGAAGGGAAATTAATTGCTTCAAGCTCCCAGAACATGAATCAATTTGACTTCTCCCCATGCTTACAAAAGAGTCCTTTAGAAGCTAGAGAATGGTTCCAAACTTGCTGTAGGTAGCTTTGGGGAAGGAAAAACATTTAAAAAAAAAAATGATGCTAAGACCTCACCCTGGACCAAATCAGAGTCTTTGGAGGTCAGACATAAGCATCACTATTTAATTCCAATATGCAAGCCAACTTTGAAAACCAGTGCTATAGAGTAGCTACTCAAATTGTGTGTATGTTAGGAACATTTAGGAGCTTCAACTGTGAGGCTTGCATCTCACCCCACCCACACCCCAAGACTGTGATTTACCTAGATGGGTTTAAAGTCACTTTGACATACTGAGTATGGCCTGGGTTGCTAAAAGATTCCCCAAGGGATTCCAATGGAAACTGAGTCCAGGCACCACTGCAGTGTACTCAAAGCATAGTTCTGAGGGTCAGGAGCCTGCGTGGCACCACCAAGCTACTTAGGAAGGCAGAATCTCAGGCTCCCATCCCCCACCTGCTATATCAGAATCTGCCTTTTAGCAGGATCCCCAGGTGATTCAAATGCATAGTAAAGATTGAGAAGCACCCTTTTAGAGAGGTCCCCACTCCTAGAAAGCAAATAATTATAAGTTTTTGCATTGCCAAACACTGAAGTTTATTTCCTTCTTTCAATCAGGTGCAGTATAGCATGATGGCAAATCACAGAATTTTAGAATGGAACTAAAAACAGCTAATAATAAGAAATCATAGGCACGCCAAGGCCTCTACAGGCATTACTAGATATTTACCACCACTCTTTGACACAGGTATAAATACTGTACCCATTTCACAGATGACCAAATTGAGGCTCAGACCCAGATGAACTGCTAAAAAACCACACATAGGCAAAGTCAGAATTTGACCCTCAGGCTTACAGTACTTGAAAGCACATGCTTTTTTAAAGTTAGTTCATTTTAGTTATACATATTTTGGTGTTCATTTTGACTTCTCCTTTTCCTTTTCTCCTCCCTCTCCCTGTTCCCTTTTTTCTTCACTGATCTTTCTTCTATTGATTTATAGTTTTTTTAGAGCATTATGGCCATATGTAAAGATGAAATGCATTATTCTATGTTCACGTATGTACATAGGAACGTCAGGCATATTCATTCCACTGTTTTCCCTTCTCTGGTCCCTCCTTCCTCCCCCTCAATACCCTTCCTCTACGTCACCCATCTTTTTTCTATTTTCATGGAGTCCCCTCCCGGGCTTTTTTACTCTGACTTTGGTTCAGCTTTCTCATATGAGAGAAAACATTTGACCCTTGACTTTCTGGGTCTGGCTTATTTCCCTTCACATGATGTTCCCCAGTTCCATCCATTTCCCAGCAAGGGACATAATTTCATTCTTCTTTATGGCTGAGTAAGATTCAATTGTGTATATATACACCGCATTTTCTTTATCCGTTCATCTGTTGACGAACACCTAGGCTGGTTCCGTGGCTTGGTTATTGTGAATTGTGCTGCTATAAACATTGATGTGGCTGCTTCCTCCTACACTCTGCTCATTTTAGATCTTGCAGATATATACCAAGGAGTGGGATAGCTGGGTCATATGGGGGTTTCATTTCTACTTTCTTGAGGAATATCCATATGACCTTTTCATAGTGGTTGAACTAACTTGTAGTCCCACCAGCAATGTATGAGTGTATCTTCTCCCCACATCCTCTCTAACATTTACTATTTGTATCCTTGATAATGAAATCATAAGCTTTTGCCTAGTCAGTCTTGCCCAATCTGTGTGCCAAACATCCTGAGTGGGATACAGATGTGTCCAGATACTGACCCCTCAACCCTCTGTCAGGTTTAACAGGGGCTGGGATGGCCAGTTGCTATAGAAAAAAAAAAGATTAGGAAGCACTGCTCTCAATTATACTTTTGAAAAGTCATCCTTTTTGCCCATCATTGAAGAAGAAACTTTTGGTCTCCTAAGATTTTAGTGGATCGTCTGACATGACCTAACTCCTAAAGACCAGGACAGGCTCCAACCCCAAGAGTCCCAACTGTCTCTTGCCTCCTCCTGCCCAGCAGAGGTTGTCAAAGTGGGAGCTCCCGACCAGGAACATCCTAACATCTGGGACCTTGTAAGAAATACAGACTGCAGGTCTCCCTACCACCAACCCCACAAACAAGCTTTTTAACAAGCCCTTCGAGATGGTTCTGGTGTTCTGTAGTTTGAGAAGCAGAACGCTTGCTGCGGCAGGCGGCCTCCGAGGACCCTGCCTGAGCGCCCGCTCAGAGCGGTGGTGCAGGGGCCCCCAGCACAGGCTGGAGCTTCTCTGCAAATAGAGGTTCCTTAAGGGGCTTAGCTTTAAACTAAGCTGAAATTTACATGCTGATTTAATCTTCTTAGGCCCTTCTTTACCTTTTCAGAAAGAGCTATAATGTTTTAGAAAGGAGAAAGCAAATGATGGCTAGCAGATAAAATATTAAATGCTCTTTCCCATGCTTTTAACCCACTTTCCAGTTGGGCAGTAAACACCGGGACATTGAAAAGGGAGAGGAGAACTGGCATTTCTTGAGCACCTTCTGTATGCATACAGAGGTACAGGCATGGCTACTTGGCCCACCCATCATCTCATTAAATCCAGTGATCCCTGTCTGAGGCAGGAGGAAACAGAAAGATGAAGTGACTTACGTAAGATCACAGGAGGAAACAGAAAGATGAAGTGACTTACGTAAGATCACAAAGCGGCGGTGGCCTTGGGGCTTGTTCTGCTGCCTGTATTCTTTGCCCTCCAGCAGGAAAGAGTTTAATCACCCCAGTATCTGGAATAATTGGATTCCAGAAATCCCAGAATAAGCTCCCATCACAGATCTCCCTACTCTGAGCCCCAGGGATGCCTAACTCAACACTCCCTTCCTGGGTCTTGGGATAGGCTTGAGCGGCAGTGTTCTGTGTTCTTGCTGCACCGTGGAAGCTGCTCTCAAAGCTGAAAAGCACGTCAGCCCTGAAGAGTCAAGCAGCTCAGCTGTGCCTGAGCATCCTGCGCCACTGACAAGTCTATTCTTACCCGATAGCATCTGTTCCCAGGCAGCAGGTGCCCTGCTGAGCAGCCTGGAGCCTTGCTCTTCAGAGAAGACCTGGGGATCTCTGCACCACACCTAGGACCTGGGAAACGGAATGCCGAGGGAAAAGAACTCATGAGAGTGGTAGTTAGCCACTTTCCCCCCACCCGCCACCTTCCCAGGAAGAGCTCCTGTTTATGCCAGTAATTGCATCAGTGCTTTGAGCTATGATTCAACACACAAGGCACTGGCTGACCTGATGACAGATGCAGCAAGGTCTGTGTGGGTGGCACGTGGATGTACACAGGCTGCCTTTCCTGCTGTTGGCACCAGCACAACCTCTGAACACCCAATGGCCAATCCCATGTTCCCTCACAGCACGGACACATGGACATCAAGATGGACACACGGACATCCACCACGTGGCCCAAGTAGCTAAAACCAATACCACAGAACTCAACAGGCAAAACAAACAAACAAAATTGCCTTAGCCTCTTTTATTCATGCAAGGAAAGACCACTCTCTGCTCTGAGTAATTTTGTTTGAATGGTATACTTTTGTCAAGATGCGGGTCAGTTGTTTCTGTAAGGGTCATTTTCTGCTTTTTGTTGGAGGTTGGACAGGTCTGAGATTCCTTGTGGACCTGCCCCCAGTCCCAGGAGTGCCATTCACTTGTCATGGCTGGGATTCCAAGTGCCAGTCCCACTCCCTTATCTGGGTACATGGAACACTCCATGGCTGACTCTTTTAGATTAAATTGAAGAATGAATTCGGTCAAGTTGCAGGATAAAAAAATCAACATAAAAAAAAAACAGTCGTTTCTCTGCACTACAACAAACTATCCAAAAAGGAAATTAAGAAAACAACCCCGTTGCAGTAGCATCGGAAAGAACAAAATACTTAGGAATGAACTTAACCAAGGAAGTGACACACTTGTACACTAAAAATAACAAAATACTGGTGAAAGAAATTAAAGTAGGCACACAAAAAAACAGAGACATTCTGTATTCACACAACCCAAAGTGAGCCACAGAAGCAAAGCAATCCTATCCAAATTCCAATTGTATTTTTATAGAAATGGAAAGGACAGTCCTAAAATTTGCAAAAATCACAAAAGACCAAGAAAAGCTAAAGCAATTCTTGAGGATAAAAAAAAAAAAAAGAACAAATTTGGAGGCTTCCTATTACCTGATTTCAAAACAGACTACCATATTAGAGTAAAACAGTATAGAAATAGATAGGCTAATGAAGGAGAATGGAGACCTTCTGGCCTCTTGGTTTACGTGCTCCGGGCCATAGTTACACCTACACAGTCAACTCCTCTTTGACAAAGGTGATAAGGACACAAGAGTCATTTACAACAAACAGTGCTGGGAAACTCGACATCCACATTCAAAACAATGAAGTTGGACCCTGTCTCCCTCCACTCAGGAAAATCACCTCCAAATGGATTCAAGATTTCAACACTTAAGACCTGAAATTGCAAAAGTCCTAGAAGAAAACTCAAGAAGGGAGTTTCCATGACATTTGTCTAGGCGATGAGTTATTAGACATGACACCAAAAGCACAAACAACAAAAGCAAAAATAAACAAGGGTGGTGTCACACTCAAAGCTTCTGCACAGAAAGGCAGCAAGAGAGTGAACAGGCAGACTGCAGGCTGGGGGAAATGTGTGCAAACTTGACTCCACCAAGGGCTTCACATCTAGACACAATTGGAACACCCACTGGCCAGGGGCAAAACAAAAACCCCAAAACGAACGTTCAAAACCCCCACCTGATTTGAAAATGGGCAGGTATCTTGAATAGACATTTCTCCGAAGAAGACAAACAAAAGGTCTGGGAAAAAATGCTCCAAGTCACTTGTAATCAAAACCCCAATGAGATGTCACTTCACACCA